CTACACTCGCCATCAACTAATTATATGCCTTAAAGCCTTAATTTATGGTTTCATAAAAATCTACAAACCCTAGCATAATCCCTAAAGTCATGGGAGGTTCTTCCTTACCTTTTTAAAGAATTCCTCCAACAAATCCTTTGCCTTTGTCTTCTTTTACACCTTAATCCTACATATATAACATTATACCTCAACATCTACTTCAAATCTTCAAATCATATCAAAACTAGGGTTTTTAATCCTTACCTTAAACCCTTCAACTTGAAGATCCAAGGCTCCTTTCATGTTCTCCTTGAAAAATTATGCAAAACTACTTTAAAACTTAGAGAGAAAAGTCTTGTTTCATGGAAGATTTGAGAGAAAATGGAAGAAAGGTTGAAGAAATGCTCTCTCCCTTGGCTTGAACGAATTTCCTCTCATTTATAGGAAAATATTTCATTTATTTTCCAAAATTATACTATTGGCCCAATTATTTTAATTGTATGACTCATAAGTCCTTAATCCTTCATATAAGGGCATTTTGGTCATTTTGCACTAAACATAATTATTACTTAATTAATGCCGTTAAATGCAATTAAGCCTACTCATCCTTCACCTTCTCAATGCTTATCCATAGGAAAAATGACTATTTTGCCCCTAATGCCTTTCTATGGATAATTGATTCATATCGTTCCAAATGAATCGACTATTTTGCCCTTAGTTAGATTTTATGTTTTTTAACATAAAACTAACATCTAAAGGACAATTTTGAGTTAGGAACATACCTTTGACATCTTGGGCATTACATTTCCTCCCCCCTTACAATAATTTCGTCCTCGAAATTATAGAAACAGCTCCGGGTATCTACTTCTCATATCTTGCTCCATTTCCCAAGTATCTTCTTCTATCTTGTGATTCCTCCAAAGCACTTTAACTAGTGGAATTTGCTTGTTTCTGAGCTCTTTTACCTTTCTGTCAAGGATATGAACTGGGCGTTCCTCATAAGCCAAATTATCCTGTAATTCTACTTCCTCTATCTGAAGCACATGTGAAGGATCACTAACATACTTACACAACAAAGAGACATGGAAAACATTATGGATCTTTCCATACTCATTGCCAGCACAAGACTATAAGCTACTTTGCCTACCCTTTCCAATACTTCAAAGGGTCCAATGTAACATGGAGCGATGATAAGCGTATTTTATACTATGATTTTGCATTGAATTTTGATAGGATTTAGGATACTTTTCATACAATTTGGGCCATAATTGCTACCTAATTCTATTAATTTTTCTTTGTAGGTTTTAATGATGATTTTTAGCATAAATGACAGTTTTGAGCGTAAATTGTGTAACTTGAGCTTGAAAACTCGGAATGACCTGAATTTAGAAGCTTTGGAAAGCTAAGAAGAAGAGCTACAACGTTCATGTTTTGGGTTTTTCCTAATTCTGACTGGAAAAAGGTGAAAACTTGGCTTGAAGTCGTGAAAAGGACGCTGGGAACTGAAGAAAAACGTCTTTGGACGTGATTCAGTATTTCTGCCATAACTTGATCTGTAGACCTCGGATTGTGCTGATTCTTGAACGACCAGAAAGATAATTGAAAGGGCTACAATTCATATGTTTAATACGTTTCAGATTCGAAATCTATCATGCTCAAATTGGGCCTGTAATTCTTTCGCTGCGGCGAGGAAAAAGATTCGCCGCGGCGAAACCTGCATCAGATGCAAAAATAAAACGACGCGTTTTGGCTTGCTAGGGCTTCGTCCTTAAGTGAGAGAGGTATAAATTAGAGCGAAAAGGAAAGAAAAAGGGGCTTGGTTCGTGATTTGGGAGGCAGCTCATGGAAGGAGAAGATTATTGAAGATTTGGGCTTCAAATTAGAGAAGATTTCTCCATCTTTTGCTTGCTTTTCAATGATGAATCTTGATTCAGTTTGTTTTTGTTGTTTTATTTCGTTTTTGAGTATGAACTGAGTTGTTTAGCTAGGGTTTGATGTAATCTTGATACAATGATTCAAATTTATATGGATTGAATTACTTTGAGTTTTAATTTCATGATTGAGTGTTTATCTCTTTGCTTAATGTCTTTTGGATGTTTGATCACCATTCAAATGTGTGTTGTTCACAATGAGACTGAGAAGTGATTTGTGATTGTGCCTCTTGGGATAAATACCATAGATTAGCAAACGCTAGAGATAGGTTTAGCGATCTATGAAATCTAGATAGAATTCCACAAAGCTTAAAATCCTTTGAACTATTAATCTTCATTTTGTTGGGTGCGGAAGCTTAATAGGGATAAGTAGGGAAATGTAGCATGAGAATGTATGTTTTACAACTTAGGGAATTCGATTTTCAATCAAGGAATTAGAACTTGGGTAATAGATTCTATGATTTGGGTCAGCGTATTTAGGTGAATTCAACACCCTAGCATTTGTTTTAGAATTGTTTAATTAGTTAAGTTGTTGGGTTTTGCATTTGTATTTAGTTTCTTAATCTTCCATCAATCCAATTTATTGTTGCTTCAATTAGGACTTAAACTAGAAAAATCAGTAATTAGTAACACTATCCTCGTGGGAACGATACTCACTCATCACTCTATTACTTGAGCGACTAGTATACTTGCTAGTTTTGCATGTTGTAAGAAACACGCATCAAGCGAGCTTGCCCTTCTTTCCAAATCTCATAATATGTTTATAAGGCGCGACTTTTACAAAAACTTTGTCACCCACTTGGAATTCCACTTCTTTTCTTTTTAGGTTGGCATAACTCTTCTGTCAATCTTGGGCTTGCTTAATTCTTTCTCTAATAAGCTTAACATCTTCAATCATTTTCTGGGTCATCTCTGGGCCAACTGCTTGAATCAAGAAGTATTTTTCTCCAATATCATCCCAGTACAAAGGGGATCTGCACCTTCTTCCATATAATGCTTCATATGGGGCCATCTGGATAGTGGATTGGTAGATGTTGTTATAGACAAATTCTATTAGTTGAAGTATATTACTCCATTTTGCCTTGTGAAGCATGTCTTCAATCACCTGGTTAGTCTTTTTAGTTTGGCCATCAGTTTGAGGATAATAAGTCATACTGAAGGCTAACCTTGTACCCAATGCTCTCTGCATTTCAACCCAAAAAGCTGATATGAACCTGGTATCTCTGTCTGACACTATCGTCTTAGGTACTCCATGTAATCTCACAATCTCTCTGACATATAATTGCCCCAATCAAAATGCATCTATCTTATCCGTCATATGTAGAAAATGAGTTGTCTTGGTCAATCTATCAACCACCACCCATATTGCATTATATCCTTACTAAACTTTAGGAAGTCCCACAATGAAGTCCATTGAGATATCCTCCCATTTCCACTTAGGAATCTCTAAGGGTTAGAGTAATCCTAATGGTCTCTGATGCGTTGCCTTTACTTGTTGACATATTAAACATCTGGCAACATAATCGACAATGCCTTTTTTCATACCTGACCACCAATAGTTTTTCTTTACATCTTGATACATCTTTACACTCCCAGGGTGAGCTGTGTAAAGTGTATTGTGTGCCTTACTAAGGATTTTATTCCTTAGTTCTTCATCTTGAGGTACACATATTCAATCTCTAAACATCAGTGCCTCATTGACTATTTAAAAGTCTGTCTCTTTACCCTTTATTATCTATTGGCAGATTACCTTGTAGGTATCATCTTTACCCTGTTTCATCTTGATCTCCTCCACCAAAGTGGGTTTGATCTCCATTTGGGCCAATCCTTCTTTGATCACAATTTCAACTCCTTTTTGGAGGATATCCTGCTGTAATTGTCCCTGTATAGTAATCTGAGATAAAGAGACTTTTCTACTAAAGGCATCTACTACTGCATTAGCTTTCCTTGGATGGTATTTGATGTCGTAGTCGTAGTTGTAGTCGTAGTCTATCACCAATTCTAACCATCTCCTCTATCTCATATTCAACTCTTTCTGGGTGAAGAAATACTTCAAACTCTTATGGTCAGGGTATATGTTGCATTTCACTCCATACAAGTAGTGTCGCCATATCTTCAAAGCAAAAACCACTGTTACTAATTCCAAGTCATGGGTAGGATATCTGCTCTCATAGTCTTTCAATTGTCTAGAGGCATAAGCAATGACTTTCCCTTGCTACATCAACACTGCTTCCAAACTATTGTGGGAGGCATCAACATAAATATCATAATCAATGCCTACTTCTGGCAATGTAAGAATTGGAGCTATAGTTAATTTTTCTTCAACTCCTGAAAGCTTTGCTCGCATGCTTATGTCCATTCAAATGGTACTTCTTTCTTGGTGAGAGTTGTAAGTGGTCTAGCTATCTTTGCAAAGCCTTCCACGAACTTCCTATAGTACCCTACTAAGCTTAGAAAACTTCTAACCTTTTTCACTGTCTTCGGCCTCTGCTACTTGAGCATCGCCTCTACTTTACTAGGATCCACTGATACACTGTCTTTAAAGATCACATGACCCAAAAAGGTAACCCGATCCAACCAAAACTCACATTTTGAAAATTTGGCATACAATTGTTTCTCTCTTAATCTTTGTAACACAAATCTCAAGTGCTCGACATGTTCTTTTAAAGTCTTAGAATAAACTAGGATATCATCAATAAACACCAATATGAACTTGTCAAGGACATCATGAAAAACTTTGTTCATCAAGTCCATAAATATTGTAGGTGCATTAGTCAATCCGAATGGCATCGCAACAAATTCATAAAGCTCATACCTTGTTCGGAAAGCCGTTTTTGGCATATCTTCCTCAGCCACTCTAACCTGATGGTATCCTGACCTTAGATCAATTTTGGAAAACGTTGCAGCAACTTTCAATTGGTCAAACAAATCATCTATCTTGGGCAATGGGTACTTATTCTTTATCGTTACTTTATTCAGTTCATGGTAATCTATACACATCCTCATAGACCCATCCTTCTTTTTCACAAATAGAATTGGTGCACCCCATGGGGAATGACTCAGCCTGATAAAGCCCTTGTCTAACAGCTCTTATAACTGCTTCTTCAATTCTTGGAGCTCAGTTGGGGCCATGCAATAAGGAGCCTTTGAAATAGGGGCTATACCAGGGGCTAGTTCTATACTAAACCCCACTTCCCTCTCTGGAGGTAAACTTGGCAATTCATCTAGAAACACATCAATAAATTCATTTACCATAGGTACCTCTTGTACACGTGGGCTCAAACTCTCTCCTTTATTTACTACATGTGTAATGTACCCAAAACACCCCATTTTCAACATCTTCCTAGCTTTTGCTGCACTAATCATCATGCTAGTTGGGTGCCTTTCTCCAAAAATGAAGTTATTCCCATGGTCTAGATTAAACTTGACTTTTTTCCTTACGACAGTCTATCTCTACTCCATATCTACTAAGAAAGTCCATCCCGAGAATGATGTCAAAGTCTGGCATATTGAAGACAATCAAATCTACCATCATATCTCGACCTCTAATAGTCACTAACTCCCCTATTAAGACTTCATTGGTCACTACACCCTCACCCTCAGGCAATCCAATCCAAATGGCTTATTCTACTCTAATAGGCATTAACCCTAATCTCTTAATCATACCATAAGAGATGAAGGAATGCGTAGCACCAGTATCAATCAAAGCATACAAGGGAGTATCATGGAATAATAACTGACCCCTTTCTTGCCTTCACCCTTATCATCTTTGCCAACAACTTGTTCTGCACTACTGGACTGGCCAAGCTGGAAATGACTACTTGCCACCGTTAGGGGAAGAGCTAATCTAGTCTCCTTCCTTAAGCACACCTCTATTCTGATGGCTCTGGCGAGTACTTCACTATATGTTTGGGAGGGCTGATGACTCAACATAACATCTCTAGCGATAGTGGGATGAAGTTCACCCACAAATCTCTCCAATCGAGTTTGTACTGTACTAACTAGTGTGGGTGCAAACTTAGCCAAGGAGTTGAACTTGATTGAATACTCTTTGACCATCATATATCCTTGTTGCAGACTAATAAACTCTTGTAGTTTTGAGGATATCATGTCTGCTGTCCGGTACTGCTCCTCAAACAATTTCTTGAACCCTGACCAAGTGAGAGTGGTGGTATCTTGAGTCTGCTCCATAAGCTCCCACCATGTCATAGCATCTCCTCTCAACAGGTACGTAGCATACCGGATCTTCTCTTGATCTATCATAGGAAATAGAGTAGTAGCTTTCTCTACTAACTTGATCCATTGTTCTGTTACTATTGGATCATTAGTGCTGCTAAATTCTGTGGGCTGATGTTTACTTGAGAGGCCGTAAATCAGTTCAATCTGCTTTGGAAGAACCATTGCTTCAGAGGTACTCATCCCTATTGCTTGACTTGGTACCACATTGCTCGTCACTGTTGTCACCAAAGTACTTGTATTTTCTGACAGGGTTTTCCTTAAAGCTCTATTAACGAACTCTTGGATCATACATCCAATGTTGCAACTTCTAAACCCCGGAGTGTTTGAAGTAGTAGCTAATGGGTTAGGAGCTTCAGGCGCAGTTTGAACATCTTATGCATTCAAAGCATCACTGCGACCTAGATCTGTTCTCCTGGTTTTCCTCATATTTATTCGCTATCACAATCACACATATAATGTTAATCATCTAATCAATCCTTACATAAAATTAGGAAAACATACTTACAACGATTGGACAACTAGAGCAGCAGAACTTTACATGAGGGATAATGTCACAACTCTCATAAATATTTGACTCCACAATAGAAAACATCTTAAAACACCCCTTTTTAAAGTAACAAAATACTTGCTCTGATACCAAATGTAAGAACCCCCTCCAGTCAGGTATCCTTTGAATATCGTTCAATGAGAATCCAGGGGATACATGTCTAGAGAACTAGTTGTATTTAGAAAAAAAACCTGTGTAAGGATAATAATAATAATATCCAAAACATGCATATAAAATGTCACGCAGGATCCAAACTTATAATTCAGAAACTTTAAGAATTTATCCGAAAATTACACAATCAAAACATATTTATAGGGTGGAAGCTTCCAAAGGTGTTTCACAAACATTTATCATTTACATTATTTACATCAAGATGACAATAAATCATCTCCCCTCACGTGTAGCCCCGTTGTCTCTAGCATCCTTCGCTTCTGGTCTACCTGCAAACCAATCAACAATGAAAGGGTGAGCGCTAATCGCTCAATAAGGAATGATCCATTGCATTCAAAATGTGCTATTTGACCCTTATTTAAACATATTTGTTAACACACCACTTATTTTTTACATCTAGGGATACTTCCTCTTTTTTTTTTTTTTTTCCTTTCTATTTCATATGACTTTCACCATTTTATCCCATGGCTATATAAACATCAATGCATACACATACAATTAAGTATGTAAACATAGTACACACATATTACATGTCATGATATAACATCTAAATATCATCTAACATGAGTATAAATCATCTCATGATGTAAATAACATCATAACTCATGTAGTGCAACTAAATGCCTATAAAGCATTTAACGTGTAGCCGATCGGACTTTTCTTGGCGTCTTAAGCACTTTATATCATCTAGAGCTCATATCATCAGGAGACGTGCTTACACGATATTTAACATCTAAAGCATATATTCATCTTTCCTCAACTGGTATACGAGGATATGCTTATGCGTTTCCCATCATGTCTATATACATCTCTAACATCTTATGGCATGTAAATACATATTTTGGTGAGCTTAATACTTTTGATTCATCTATGGATTATCAATCCATTTACATTACCTCTTGCTCATGTAATACTCTCTCTCTAGCTATTATACTCGTAAAATAACAGTAAAACTCACTAAATATATGTAAGAAAATATAATATAGTCACAAAATATCACTCAACAGTGTTGCCAAACCCTTCCGCTTCTTGACGTTCCAAGTGACTGCATCTCACCTACTACCTGCAAAAACATTGAAAACAATGGGGTGAGCACTAATTGCTTAGTATGTAAACCCGCTATGCTACCCTTCTCTCTCTGTTGCTTATATTCTGAATTTCTTTCCTTACATCACACTTCTCTATTCTTCTTTGTTCTTTCTTTATTCTTTCTCTGTTCTTCCTCTATTCTTTCTCTCAATTTCTAATTTCTCACTACTCATGATACTAGGCATGGTATCATGCGTAGGTATGATGCAAATGCACAAATGCATAGGATGTGCATTTTCTTTTTTCTTTTTTCTATTTTTCTATTTTTCTTATTTTATTTTCTGTTTCTTTTCTATATATTTCTTTCTTTCTTTTCTAGTCTTTCTTTCTTTTCTATTCTTTCTTTTCTTTTCTTTTCTATTCTTTCTTTCTTTCTATTCTTTCTTTCTTGCCAATTGGATTCGGTTGAGGCATGGATTTGGAACCCTGGCCGTGTGAGTGTATCCTCTAATTCTGGGTACAGTCCTCATCCACATGCACTTCTAACAGACTGTACAATTATTCTTTCTTAATTCTGAGGCCACTCACTAAAGGCGGCATGCATGCGGGGCTATGTCACTCACGGGTTTCCCATCGCAGCAACCTTCTCTTCTTTTATCTTTTTACAATCCTTTAAATAAAAATTAAGATTTGAACTTCTTTATTATTCTCATTTCTTTCTATTTGCTCTTTAATTATCTTTAATGCTTTTTAATGCTCTTATGAGTATGTATGCATGTAGATGGGCTCATGCTTATAATTCTTTCTAAATTCACATGTTTAGATGCAACAATGCAATATGGAATGTAAACATGTCATTCTCTACCATCTACAAACTCATCTCAAGATAACAAAAAATCATACTCATACATGCACTTCTCTTTGACATTTCATCAAACAATTTATGTGCACACACAAGCTCTAAATTGGCTACACTTCTACTTCTCTTCTAAGCCACCTAAATTTGGAACAAAATTCTCTAAGATTAATGCCAAACCTGTCTAGGATTTACACTCCATAAATTCTACTCCAATTCTTCCATAATTCATCCAAACTCTCATCAAACATCAAGTACACAAACATTACTTCTCATGAATAAATTCTAACTATCATTCAACATCCATTCCATTAACAATTCTTCATATATAAGCATATATATGCATAAAAGAAATTCTCTACACATTATTACTCTAATCATAACTAGGGTTGGATTTACTTACCTTGGATGTGAGCAATCCAACACTTTAGTAGTCTTCATTGATCCAACTCTCTTTCTCTTAAATCCTATGAACACAAATCATAAGAATTCAACACTTTAAAAATTAAAACTCATATCTTAGTGCAAGGATCTTACCTAAGGATGCTTGGGATTGAAATTTCACTAAAAGTAACCCAAAACCTATGAATTTCCCTTGAAAAATAATTGAAGAAATTGAGAGAATTTGGGGATGAAGGTGGCGTGAAAGAGGAGAAGAAATGGCTAGGGTTTCATTCTTCAACTCTTAATATAACAAAATATTATTTATTAGTTTCCCATTTTACCCTTGCACTTTCTATAAAATTTCATCTATGTCCCTTAGTCAATTACAATAATGCCCTATTTTTTATTGCATTCTCTATGAAATTATATCTCTTTTCACTCCCCACATTTTCAACTAATTATCAGTGAAAAGACCATTTTACCCCTAATAAAATTTTAAGGGATTTTCTTCACACTTGTTCAAGATAACTTTAACAAAATTCAACTAAGGGTATTAGGGCATAAGTAAAGCTACGTACCTCGATGTGGGCGTTACAATTCTCCCCCTCCCCCCTTACAAGAATTTCATCCCCGAAATTCAAACGAACAACTCAGGATGGCGGTTCTACATATCTTGCTCTACCTCCCATGTTGCTTCTTCTACATTATGATTCCTCCATAGGACTTTTACGAGTGGAATACTTTTGTTTCAGAGCTCTTTAATCTTTCTGTTTAAGATCTATATTGGTTGCTCCTCATAAATGAGATTCTCTTCTAAGTCCAGTATATGGGAGGGATCACTAACATATCTCCGAAGCATCAAAACATGGAACACATTGTGCACCCTATCTATATTAGGTGGCAGCGCCAACTTATAAGCAACATTTCCAACTCGCTGCAACACTTCAAAGGGGCCAATGTATCTAGGTGCTAACTTTCCTTTACCGCCAAAATGTATTATCCGCTTATAGAGGGAAACTTTAATAAATACTTTATCACCCACTGCAAATTCCACGTCTTTTTTCTTTAAATATGCATAGCACTTTTGTCTGTCTTGAGCTTGCTTCATTCTACGTCAGATCATCTAGATATCTTCTATCATTTTTTGAGTTATCTCCGGCCAAAGAGCTGTATGTAACTCATCTTTCTCTCCTACCTCATCCCAATGCAATGGAGATCTACATCGCCTACCATGCAAGGCTTCATAAGAAGTCATCTTAATTGTAGACTGGTAACTGTTATTATAGGCAAACTCCACCAAAGGTAACATCTTATGCCAAGTCATTCTATAATCCATACAGCATGCCCTCAACATATCCTCAAGTATCTGATTTGTTCTCTCAGTCTGGCCATCTGTCTGAGAATGGTATGTTGTACTAAATACCAATCTGGTACACAAGTTTCTCTATAGACTGGTCTAAAAAGCTGAAACAAATATGGAATCTTTATCTGACACTATGGTCTTGGGCACACCATGGAGTCTGACTATCTCCCTAACATAGATCTGGGCCAACTGATCTAAGGTAGTGCTATCCTTTACTGGAAGAAAATGGGCTGATTTCGTTAATATGTCTACTATCACCCATATCGCATTATACCCCTTTTGAACTCTTAGAAGGCCTGTGATAAAATCCACGGATATACTTTCCCATTTCCATTCAGGAATGCTGAGTGGCTGAAGCAAACCTAATGATCTTTGGTGTTCTGCTTTCACCTGTTGACAAACCAAACACTTAGTCACATAATCTTCAATATCTCTCTTCATACCTGGCCACAATAACTTTTCTTTAAATCTTGATACATCTTGGTTCCTCCAGGATGAACAATATATGGTGTATCATGAGCCTCCACAAGAATCTGTAACACCCACAGTGAGGTAACTTATTTATGCTTTAATTCCCTTAGTTTTATTTATTTCAAGGTGAGAGATTGAAAATTAGAATTTGCAGACTTCGTCGCGGAAAATCAGTTTTGTCTTTGTGACATTGTACACACTGTTCAAATCGAGTTTTTAGAATTGCAGTCTTTGACGCAGCAAGGAAGAAGGTTCGCCGCCGCAACATACACTTTGGAATGTTTCGCCGAGGCGATGAAAACTTTTCGTTGGGGCACAGAATTTGTTGGAAATTTTGAGAA